ATAAGAGTTATTAAGTCAGAGGACCTCGACCTATCAGTTTATCAACCTTTTCTGCTCTTGTGATTTATATCTCCAGTCTACCTCTGCTACTCATAAGGGTGCTCATTTTCTTTTGGCCTATTCCATCACATCTGATTTTTAAAGTTTATCTTATTGATAAATTTTGATTTAACGCAGATGATAGATATAAATTTGGAAAGTGTATTCCTCGAAAACAAGGAAAATAACACTAAAGAATAACTATAACATTAGGTACCTACTGTGTGTACTGTGTACTAAGCCCTGGGGATCCAAATACAAATAAAGACAAAGAACAGTCTTTGCCTTCAAGGAGCTACCACACACATACCTTAAAATCCAGCAACACCTGATTACTGGTTGTCCTCCATCCATGGAAGGTTTTTTGTCTCACTACCACCACCTCTGCCTCCTGGCTTCCTTCAAGATTTGGCTCATATCCCACTTGCTGTAAGAGGCATTTCCTGGTGTGCTGCACTTCTTCCCCTGCCCAGTGCCTTTCCTTTGTACATAGTTGTTTATGTGTTTTTTCAGCTGTAGAGTGTGAGTTCCCCAATTGCTGAGCACTTAGCTTTTGGTTTTTTGGTTTTCAATTAATAATTTATTTTCTTCTCTATCTCCTCTTCCACTGGGAAAAAAAGAAAAACAACCATTATAATAAATATACACAATCAAGCAGAACTAATTCCTATGTCCAAAAAAGTATGTCTCAGGCTGTCCGCTGAGTCCATACCTTTGATAGGACATGAGTAGCATTGTTTCTGGTCACTACATTGATAAGAGTTCTTAAATCTTTGAATTGTTTGCCTTTCTTGCTAGATTTCTCTGAAACTGTCCCCCAAACCATTTTTTTAGGACACAGAAGTATTCCTTCACAGTCATGCACTATAACTTGTTTAGCCATTCCTTCAGTTGATGGGCATCTGCTTAATTTCCAGGTTTATGGTACCGCAAAATAGCTGCTGTAAATATTTTTTTGGAAGTATATGTGGGTCCTTTTCCTGTTTAATCTTTTTGGGATATATACCTGGACCCAATATCACTAGGTCAGACGTTATGTAACAGTTTAATAACTTTTGGGGCATAATTCCAAATTGCTTTCCAGAATGTTTGGACCAGTTCATAAGTCCACCAGTAGTGCATTAATGTAGACATCCACTTTGTTTACAAGTGGTGTGATGTAAAAGTTCCTCCCTTTGGAGGTGTGTGCTTAATGGCAGGTTGTATTATTGGGTCAGAGGAGATACATATTTTAGTGACTTTGGTTCTACCAAAAGTGTATTTAGTCCCCTCCTCCAGTTGCCATCTTCCTTTTTCATCATCTTTGCCTACCCAATGAGTATTGATGTATATCCTCAGAGTTTAGTTTGCATTTCTCTTATTAGTTGTTTGAAGCATTTTTTCATATGGTGTTGATATCTTGGATTTCTACCTGAGAGCTGAACTCCTGCTCTTATCCTTTGAGGATTTACCTATTGGGGAATGAATTTTGATCTTATTTATTTTTATCAATTCCCTACATATTTCTAGTATGACACCTTTATCAGAAATTTGCTACAGATCCCCAGGCCTTTTCTCTGTTAACTGTTTCCCTTCTAATACTAACTGTAATGCTTTTGTTTGTGCAAAAACTTTGCAATTATACGTAAGCTAAATCGTCCATTTTGTTGACTGTGGTCCTTTCTATCTTTTATGCAAGAACTCTTCCCCTATCCATGATTATGAAAGGTATCCCTTCTGTTCTCCCCTAATTTGTTTGTAAGACTTTTTATAAGGTCATGTATCTATTTTGAGCTTATTATGGTATGTATTGATCTAAACCTAATTTCTCCCAGTTCTAATTTCCCAGATTTGGGTGATGGATTGGGCTTATGCCAGGAAGCTGCCTCTGTTGATATAACCACAAGTTTTTATTATTAATATGGTCCATTTTATGTATAATTTTCCTATTACTGAACCAACCTTACCTTGCTGTTATAAATCCAACTAGTTGCCTAAAATTATAACTCTTCCATGAACCTGACCTCTGGAATTTTCCTTTTTGATTTCATTTCCTATCATGTCTCCTGACAAGTCTTCTAAATCTTAAACTTTTGTTTTTGATCCACACTGTGATAACACCCCAGTTCTTCCTTCTTCCACTCCATTACTCTGGCCTATTTCTTCCTGCAGTCTTAGCCCTGTAGTTGACCAGTTTAACTATGTACTATCTGCTGCTTTGGAGGAGGTTGTACAGGCATGCCAGTGGGTCCATTACAGATTCTTGTTATCTGATTTCAACTGGGCTGTCACTACTGCATGGTGATTTTATTCTTCCCTGACTGAATGTCATGAATTTTTTTTTTCATTCTGCATCCACTTCTCTTTTACATAAAAAAATGTGTATTGTGCATTTCAGACTGGATGTCCTGCAAGCATCTCTGACTCAGCATTTGCAAAATAGAACTCACAACCTTTTCCCCCCAAAACCCACCTCTGTTATTGTCAAGGGTGCCATCTTCCTTGACTCATCACTTTCCCTCCCCCAACATAGTTAGTTGCCAAATCTTGTCATTTCTATTTCCACAGCATCTGTTATGCCTTTCACCTTCCCCTCGCCTCACAGTCTCCACCCAAGTTCAGGACTTCCATCATCTCTCACTTCATTGAGTAGTTTCTCTTTCTTTCTTTCTTTCTTTTTTTAAGGCTAGGCAGTGGGGTTAAGTGACTTCTCAGGGTCACACAGCTGGTAAGTGTTACGTGTCTGAGGGTAGATTTGAACTCAGGTCCTCCTGAATCCCAGGGCTGGTGCTCTATCAACTACGCCACCTAGCTGCCCCTAGTTTCTCTTTCTTAATTCTCCTCCCTTTCCAGTCCATTTTCCACACAGCTGACAAAGTAACTTTGCTTCACCACAGCTCTAGCCATGACACTTCTGTAATCATTAAGCTTCAGAGCTTTCTTCTTCCACCTAGGATCAAATGTTTAATGTTATTTCATCTTTTTAAAAGTTTGATAATATACATAATGGACTTTATGTACGTGATTTATAAATAAGTAAATATGCATTTATCGGAGGTATGTGATCAAAGTAGTTTGGAGGTCTCTGGCATGTAATCATTTGGGATATGCTACTGTGTGTACATGCATCTGTTCACATACACGTGTATATTTAACATCTCCCTACTTAGATTGTAAGCCACTAAGTGGCAGGGACCCTGTATTTTTAATCCCAGCACCATACCTTAGCTATACTTATTTGTTGCTTACTCTATCTTTCTGAATTACTGTTAAACTTTTGAAAGATCTGTGATTTATTCTGTATAGTATACTCTTTAAATAGACATAGAACATTGACTTTCCATCATCTCATTAGGTGGTTTTATGATGTTGTAGCAAAAAATATTTTTTGGTGACAACCATTATTGTGCCAAGCCTGTGACTTAGTGATATATAGATTCACTATACTCCTCTGTCAGTAAACATTTGTTAAGCACCTACTATGCACCCAGTACTGGTGATACAAAAAGAGGCAAAAGAGATAGTCCACATCCTCAAGGAGCTCACAGTCTGGTGGGGGAGACAACAAGCTCTCTGTTGGACAAATGAGAAATGAGAGAGGGAAGGCACTGGAATTAACAGGGGTTGGGAAAGGCTTCCTGTGGATGGGGTTTTAGTTGGGACTTAAAGAAAGGCAGAGAGTCGGTAAGCAAATGAGGAGGGGGTGTTCCAGGCATGGGGGGACAGACAGTAAAAACTGCCTAGAGTTGAGAGGAGTATCTTGTTCAAAGAACAGCCAGGAAGCTAGGGTCACTGGATGGAAGACTTATTTCACGGGAGAGTAAAGTGTAAAAAGAGTGGAAATGATAGGAGAGGCCTGGGTTATGAAGGGCTTTGATGTCCTTCCAGCTAAGTAAGACCTAGGTGTCCAGAGTTTGTGCTTCATTGGCATGTTCTTCACCCACAGTCACCTCCGTACCAGAATGAGGCATCCAAGGACCTTAAGGGAGATTACTATCATACTGTACTTTTTGAATCAGTAAAGTACAGTGGAAAGAGTGCTGGATTTGGAGAGAGGACCTGGATTTATACCCCTTGTTCTGCTACTTACTAGGTGACCTTGGGCAAGTCACCTCTATTTCCTCTTTATTTCTGATTCTATGATTTAACTTTTCATGTGACTTCATTGTGTTAGGACTTCGAATGTGATTTCATTGTGTTATGACCTCACAAAGTGTTTAGATGAGCCACCTCTTCACACATATATAACCCAGGGAAAGTGTTGTTGTGAAAGATTACTGTATTAATAATTCATTGAATTTAAAATCTGTCAAAGGCAAAGTGTTTCTCTATATTTTTCATATTTGAGACTTCTTATATGCCTTCTAAATCCCTTAAAGTACTCCATTTCCTCTAGCCTGTCCTCCCTCACCTGAGTATTGGCCTCCCCTTTCTGTACCTGACTTGAATAATGCTTCTTGCAAAAAAGTAACAGAGGCAACATGTTTAACATTAAAAAGCCATGGCTATTTACTGAACTCCACTACAGTATTTTGGTAGTAATAACAGCTCAGGTTTCCATATTACTTAATAGTTTACAGACTTTCTTCTTGATTATCCAGTAAGGTAGGTAAGTGTGTATACTGTGTCCATTTTATATATGAGGAAACTGAGGCTTAGAAAGGTTAAGTGACATGTGTTCACAGTCACACAATTAGGAAATGACAACCTAATCATACCCAACTCAAGTCTTTTTTGATTCTAAGACAAGCGTTCAGTCTTCATATCATACTTGCCTCTCAGGTAGATGGACTTCACATGGTAAACCATATAGGATGTTATTTATGGATCAGTCATACTCAGTAATAGTGTAGTGTTTTTAGTCCATTATTTTAAACTATGTTTTAATTCTAGTCCGTTATTTAAAATATTCTCTGATGGTTATTTTAAGGCTGGTTAAGAGAATAAACTCTTTCCTTTATCCTATCTCAATTTTTATGTAGATAGCTGCCATTTTTTCTTTTGCCACTTGTGGAGGTTTTAAGGGCAAGACAAGTTTCATAGTTTCCTGCTCAAGTCTGAGTATTAAAAATGAGACAATTGAAGCTGCCTTTGCTTATCCATTCAGGTAAGTGTATTTATCCATCCTTTCTTTTCCCCTCCTGTTTTTCTTTAATACTTTGCTCTCTGTGTGTGTGTGTGTGTGTGTGTGTGTGTGTGTTTATGTTGTCACAATAAGATTTTCAGTTGCAAATTTGCTTCATTTTTGTGTTTATATGGTGTCTGTTACATAGAAGTTCCTTAATAATGCTTGTTAATTGCTTTAAGTAAAAGTAATATTCTCAGTACCTTGTTTGTTACACTGTGCCTCATTTTAAGCAATGTATGAAAATGAAGTATTTCCAAAAAGATAAATTACAGAACCAATTATTATTGGTATGCAATAAACTATACTTCTTTCCTTAGTGTATCTTTAAAAAACAAAATCATCAAAAATTCAGTTCATACAAAGTTAGGAATCTGTTTCTGTCACATGAAATATACACACACACATATACATACATATATATATGGTTTATTCTGTTGGAATACAACTTTATATCTCAAACAAAGCTTGATTTATTTGAACTTGATATGGACTCTTATCTGGTGTGCTGCTAAATGTTTAACAGCTAGCTCTTGGGGGATCCACAACACTTTAAAAGTCTAGACAGTCAACAAGACAAAAGCCTGTTTGTCAAAGTAGCATTCATGTGTGTGGCAGTTTTCAGTTCTAGTTAATAACTAATAATTTTTACCAACCAAATTACTTTATTTCAGTATGTCACATATAAAAAGTTTATTAATTTTAAAACTGTCAAATAGAGAGAGGCAGTCTGGTGTAAAAAGAGTACCAGTCTAGGAACTAGGAGAGCTAAATTTTAGTCCCACTCTTGCCATCAACCATCTTTGGGCTAGTCACACCCTCTCTGAACCTCAATTTCATCTACATCTGTAAAGTTGATTTCTAAGATATCTTTTAGCTTTATTATTCTATAAGCCTGTGATATGAATTTAGTTAAACATTGATACATATATCCAGAAAAGGCTCTTGGCCTTTACCTAAATGTGTCCCTGCATTTTTCTTGTCTTCTGTCTTCCTATTAAAATGTGTTTAAAGCTCTTTTTTATCCTCTTTGAACCTAATTACTTAAAAAAAAATTTTTTTTAGGTTGAATCAAGTTTCACTTCATGCAACAGCAGCGCAGGATCCTCTGTGTGGTGTAACTTGGAGCAGTTATTTTCTTATAGGAGATTTCTCTTCTTCTGCCCAGTTCTATGTTACATTTGCAGTCTTGGTTTTCCTATACTGCATTGCTGCACTTGTACTTTATATTGGTTATATGAACCTATATCGGGAGAGTCGAAAAATTCCCTTTATTGTAAGTTATATTCACCTTGATGTTGTTTTCTTTTTGGAAAAAAGTTAAGAATGTCTGCTAATGTGTTTATCTGACTTGACATATAGGTTCTCATATATTGGAATACTTAAGGCTCCAGTTTTGTAAATATCATGGATTCTAGAATCAGAGATTACTCTAATAATTTGAACAGCTTTCTGTGTAGTAAACATATAATTTCAGCTCCTAAGTGGGGAGAGATTTTAGTTCTTTAGTTTATTTTAGATTTTTAAATATGCTATTGGGTAGAAAATAATAGGCTATTAAGTATACTTTAATTCTAAAGAATGGCTTAAATACCAAGAACTTCAAAACTTAAGTAGCTTTCATAGTTCTTTTTTTCCCTTCTATCTCTCACTCTCCCTCCCCCAAAACAAAAATCTTAATAACTTACTTTAAATTTACCTCTAAGACTTTGAATTCCCTCCTTTTGAATCTAAGCAGACGTTTTTTATTTGTGATATCCATGAGCTAATATTTCTGAGTTTGTGATGCTACAAAAGTATTTGGATTTGACTTATCTTGATTGCTGCATGACCACAAAAAGTAATTCTATAGATCTAGACTAGAAATAGCAAAATCACTGATGATTCATAATAGCAGGCTAAGCAGATCTCTACCATATGTGGAATATCTGTAGTTTGCCCTTCATATAACTAGATTTTGTAGTATGTCCATAAGACAATGGCATCAAGTGCTAAAGACCATTGGTCTTGGTATGGTGTCCTTCACTGCCACTAAATATCTTGGCTTATACCGGAAGAGATAGTCTGCCTGCCCCATAGAGGGGCAGGAAGAACAACTACTACAGAACTTAGTTCTTAGGAAATGTCTACCATAGCATAAGCAGAAGGAGGCTAAAAAACTACAAGAGAAAAAACCTTAGTAAGCCCTAGCACAAGCAAATAAGGAAAATTTATTAAAGAAATTAGGAATTAGTTTAGGTCAGGTATTAGAGCTTTTAGCGTAGAATTGAAGTACAATATTTGGCTCAAGAAAAAACTTAAGGATCAGGGATCTCCCAGAACAACATGACTTTTTAAAAAACAAAAAAGAATGCCATAATGCAGTAAATAATAAAAGAAAACTGTCTAGAACTTAAGAATACACACAGCAAAGCTCATTAGAGAATCCACAAATTGCCACACACTATAAAAAACCCTCTTCATTGAGAGCAAATTTTGCAAATGGCTAGGATAAAGACCTTCAGATATCAAGGAGGAAAAATGTGTATAACATGGGATAATTCCACAGTCATGTAAAATGGAATAGCATATCCTAAAAAGCAAAGGGAGATCAAACTCTGCAAACCATAATATCGTACCCTGTAAACCCGAGTCTGTTCATCAGGAATAAATGATATCTGGCTCACAAAAGGAGGGGAAGAAAATGATGTCTGACAAACTCCCAAATCAGTCTTAGTTCCTAAAACAATTATTTGTGCTGAGATTTTGGGAGTGGAGTACAGAAAGTGCATTCATGATGCTGGTCTTATATATTTTTATGATTAATAGCTACACCCTCTCTCAAGTTAATCTACCTGTGCCCCTAAAACAAATAACAATGGCATTTAATTTTAAAATATTACAAATGAAAAGTACAAGCAATATATAAAGTATTAGTAATGTAGAAGATTCTACTCGATGTAGGCAAATATAACTTCTTAGCTCTTACTGAGACTTGGTGAGATGAGATCCATGTTCTGCCTTTTGGAACCTTGGCTTTAAGAGTCAGAGAGACAAACTTAGGCTTGATATAATCATTAGAATACTATTCAAAAGTGGACTATCTCAGGAAGTCGTGTGTTGGTTGTCCCTCAGTGGAGGTCTTAAAGCAAATATATGTTTTGTATGAATATATATCTAGAGGCCGTAGAGGCCAGGTATCATTATATATGGGTTAGACTAAATGTTCTCTGAGACCAACTCTGACATACAGTGATACTTCCAGGAATTCTAAATTTAAAGAAGGTATTTCAAACATTGCCCTACTTTTAAAAAAAAGGTTTTTTTTGAATTAAAGGATATTGAAATTGCTAAGACAGAAGCAGTTGCTTAAATAAGCAGTAAAATGTTTTATTTTTATTTTTGCTGCATGGCTAACAATAAAACAAATGGTAAGTATGGAATATTTTTATCACCTGAAGTTGCTTATTTCCTTAGAAACTTTGCAAAGGTTCTGTTACCTTATTTTAAAAAATTCTTCTGTGTCTTAAGTAGGGCTTAACAGGAAGTTTAAGTACCTATTTGGTAGGAACTGTAAACTAGAATTCTTTGAGTATAGTCTTTGTAGTGTTTGTAAGACTGGTTTATAATTATGACCATCCTATTCATGCTTTGAATAAAATTTCTTGTAGTAAATTAATGCTTTTCTCATTTTCTTAAGTTAAAAAAATTCTACTGTGTGTTAATAAACTACAAATTAAAAATTATACTGAAAATAATTTAATCTGATTGAGGAGATTTGATCTTATATGATTAAGGGACTTTTCAAAATCCTGCAGTGCCTAAGAGTCATTGATCTGTCAGTCAGCAAATATTTATTGAGCACCCTACTGTATACCACGTGCTATATACTAGGACCTAAGGATGCAGGTACAAAAAAATGAAACCATTAACTACTCACAAGGAGCTTGTTTTAATGGGGGAGACTTCAAGGGCAAATGAAAATATTTACAGCATAAGCATGAAGTTTATAAATAGGTAAAAAGTAGTTAAATACAAGGATATTTGAGAGGAGAACCCTAGCAAGTGGGGGATCATGAAAGGATTCATGTAGAAGATTGTGCTTGAGCAACATCTTACAGGAAGAGAGGAACTCTGAAGTAGAGGTAAGCAGGGAATATATTCTAAGCCTGTGTGAGGGCCAGTGTAAAGACACTGGATTGTGGGGAGATGAGGAATATCCTGTGAGGAGCAGGAAAAAAGGCCAGTGTAGCCAGATCAGAGAATGTGAAAGGCAAAGTGATGTTAGCCAATTGCAAAGAAAGGATGGGAGCTAGGTTTAAAGCAAAACAGAGAAGTATATGTTTTACCCAGGAGACAATAGAAGCACTGGAGTTGATTGAATAAGAGTCATGTGGTTGGGTCTGTGCTTAAGGAAAATTACTTTCAGCAGTATGTAGTTTGGATTAGAGTGGTGAGAGACTTGAGGCTGCTGTTGTCATCTAGGTAAGCAGTGGTCAGGATCTGAACTAAGCTGGTAGTTGTGTTAGAAGTGGTCAAGATGCAGGAAATATTATAAAGGTAGATAAAGACAAGATTTAGTTGGCTAAGTAGCGTGAGACAGTAAGGAGTTCAGTATAATGCCAAGTTACAAACTTGGGAGACAGGAAGGATGGAGATGCCCTTTTGTCACCAGCATTAGGGAAGTTTAGAAGAGGGGGAGGGCTTGGGAGAAAGATGAGTTTAATTTTAGATATACTGAGTTTGAGATGTCTGGTACATTCTAGTTGAAAAGTCCAATAAGCATTTGGTGTGATACAGGACCAGAATTCAGCAGAGAGACTAAGGCTAAATGCATAAATATGAGTCATCTGCATAGAGGTATTGGTATCTAATAAGATTACCAAGAAGGATTCTCTGAGAAGAACAAGACAGAATCTTAGGGAATACCCACATTTCCAAGGTATGATGTGGTTGATGGGCCACTAACAGTGGTTGAGAAGTAGCGAAAGTATGCAGGAGGCCGGGGTGGTGAATAGTGTCGCAGGAAGCAGATAGTTTGAGATGGTTGAGGACTAAGAAGAGATCATAAGAAATTTTGAAAAAATAGCTTTGTCTAAGAGTTTGAGGGAGAATGGTAAGGTCTGATGAAATGATAGTTAATCAAATTCTGGTTGATAGGTTGTTGAATGAAGGTATAAGAAAATTGTATACACAAACTTCCAAAGGGGTAATAGGTTTGATCAGCTCTGTTCTCTCATACTGTATCTTAGACAAGTCTGAGTGTCTTTGCTTAGTGGGATCTTAAAAAATAATGTGTAACTAGAGTTATCTGATGTATTAAGTATATAAGTAATTATTTTTCTTTTAGGACTTCGTTATTACTCTTATTGCTACTTTCTTATGGTTGGTGAGCACTTCAGCCTGGGCTAAAGCTCTGACAGACATTAAAATGGCCACCGGTGAAAGTCTTATTGGTCAGATTGACTCATGCAGTGATAAGGATGTACACTGCTACTTTGACTCTGTGACCAGTATGGGATCTCTGAATGTATCTGTGGTATGTATATATTTTTTCCAGAGATTTTGTTTTGCTTTTTAGAAATGTCTTACCTGGTAATTAAAGAAAGTATCAGCTTTTTAAGTCTTAATATTTAAGACTTGTTAACTGTTGTCATGTATAATTTTTCCTTTTAAGACTAAACATGCTATTAAAATCTTAAATTAAGATCCTAATGAATTTATAACATAATTAAACTGAAATAAGAATTGTCTTAATAGTAATAACATTGAGGTGGAATAAAATACTTTGCTTAAAAAGAACAAACTTTTTAAAGACTATTTTAAAATTATTTGATACTAAGTACAACAGATATAAAGTTGGGAAGGGGCCTCAAAGGCCCAATTCAACCCTTGCATTTAAATATTCTGTCCCAGTTTAGTCTAGTATTATAATTGGAACTGTAAACAAGGAGCTTTGTAAAAAAAAAATACAGTTTGACCACATAGCATTATCCAAAATCAAAACATTGGAATGGGGTTTGTTTCTACTCATGAAGATATTCTTTTCAATGGCTGAGTTAAATTTCAAACAAACTTTACATTAACTAATTTGAGATAGAATATTAAAACTCACTGTTATCCTGATATTTTTAAATGGCTCTTTGGGAATTAGGTGTCTTTTTCTTATTACTCTGAAGAGCCTTTGTGGTAGTTCAATTAATTTGGCTCTATTACATTTCTTAGGAAATTCACCTCTCTTTAGAATTGGGGAGTGGAGCAGGATTTGAAGATTCTATTCCACATTGCTCCACCTAACTTTGGATCTTAAGGGGGAGGTGAGAAAGAGAAAAAGAAAAAGGGAGGCAGAATGAAAGGGAAGGAGGAGAAGATGTTTTCTAAAGCAAGATTCACTTGGAAATGAGAGTGAAATGAAAGCTATGAAAAGAAGACTTTGGAGCACAAGATATACTCCTCCATGCAAGATAGTTAGTTGCCTACCTCCTTAAATCATAATATGCTCAATGCAGTTTGGGGCATGTGCTTTTTAAATTCTTATGATTTTAGAAATTTTCATTGAGAATTGCAGGGTCAAAATTTACTGTGAAAGAGAAGTTATACATTAAATTTCTAGTACTTTAGAATTTCATTGGGACATAGATGTTTTCTTCTGAATGTCATGGAAAAACTAGCTTGGATTGAAGAGATTTTTTAAAATCCTTTTTTTTCCCCCCTCCCATAGATCTTTGGTTTTCTGAACATGATACTTTGGGGAGGAAATGCTTGGTTTGTATATAAGGAGACCAGCTTGCACAGTCAGTCAAACGTTTCTACCCATGGCGCAGGAACAGTTGCACCTCCTACAGGAATGTAATTAAAGGAGAGAACTACACTGTGTGAAATTAGAATATATTCTACAACGTATTGCCAGCATCTTTAGAGACAGTGCAATTTGTTTCTAATAAAAGTAATGGTGTTTGCAATAAATTGATGGATTGAAAATTCTGCTAGTTTTTACATGAAATATGTGCCTTAGATACAAATTTTGGATGTAAATGTTTCAATTTGTAGACTCGAAGATCTAGGGATTTATTATGAGGTTGTATACGTAAAAATAAATGTGCAGTTTCTTCACTAAATTTTTTGCATAGCAAAAGTGTTTACCCCTTAGGCCTTAACACGTGTATCTTTATTCAGGAAGTGGATGTATGATTCTATTTTAAGAAAGGAAGAAACTGCATCTGAATTACACACTACTGTAAGTTTGTACAGTTCATATGCTTTAAGACCTGTCTTTGTTTAAAAAAGGCTTATTGCATTATAAATATAGCATGGCAAAAAAAAAGTGTTTAGTTCAGAACTTAAATCTAAATAAATACGGTTCATGTTAAACAAAAATTCCTGAATGCAGAGATAGGTTTTAAAATAAATAACTTTAAATATTTAATAGTTGTACAAAAATGTTTTGAGGATAGAGATTGGAAATTTCAAGTGTGTATAAATGTTCTTTGATACGGTTAATACAGTAATGCTACAATTCAAAGTGTTTACATTATGCTGGTTGGTTTCTTAGACTAAGTATACTCTAAATATGATTCACCTAGACACTTTGAAAATTGCAGGCATAGTCTTATTAATATTTGTCCTGTTATTCACGCTACTTGGTTTCAGGATGGGATAATCCTACAAGTGTAGGAAAAAAAATTTTAAGTTTTTTCCTTTTTTTTAACCCATTGAGAGAAGAAATTAAGTTTGTTTTTTATTTTTGAGATGCATTTAAATGTTTAGAGTCAATGAAGTTACTATTGGAAGCTCAGCACTGATATTATGAAAATAAGAAATGAGATCCAAATTTCATTTTTTTCTTCATGTTCTCATTCTTACTACATAAATGGATGATTTAAAAAATTATGTATGTGTGGTAAACAAAGGAACACAAGTGAGCTAGCTACATAATGGGTGCCTGTTTCTTTGTACACATATTTGGTTGTATTTTGAGTATGCACAAGTCATTCACATTATTTGCTAATCTTTATAGTTGCGTTGTACAGAAATTCAGATTTTTTTTTCTTCCAAATTGATTGTTACTTTGTGAAGCACAACTCACTGTTGCCACATTTTGGTTGCCTTTATTCATGACAAGAATTGTCCTTGTAAGAAATGTATGTCTTTTATGCAGCCAACTTAATAAAAAAAAAAGTTGAAAAATGAGTGAATTGATTTACAGTAAGTCCCATAGTATATACATACACACCTTAACGTTTTTAAGGTAAGTTATAGTTAGGCATAAAGGTATTTTCCCTCTGAAAATGGGAACTGATTGAAACTGATTTCATGGAGTATTTTGGCAGGGAATAAATCAGGGTAGAGTTGGTAAAATCTTAATGTACAGTCTGATTCTATCCTCTCCTTTCCCAGTTCCATTTCAAAGATTGACTTTTGCTCTGTAGATGATTTTTCCATATAAAATTAAGGACATGTAGGAACTTCACCTACATAAGTGTCCTTTGATTCTTGAAGGCAGTGTCATTGAACACCTGGTTGGATAGATACTACATGGTATAGCAGAAAGAACATTGGATTTAGAATGAGGAAATCCTGGATTTGAGTACAAATTCAGACATTTACGAGCTTTCAGAGCATGAAAAAGTCACTTCACCCCTCTGAGCCCTAATTCCTTCATCTCCCAAATGGAAATAACATATGAAGCACCTAGTTCACAGGATTGTTGAACTCAAAAGAAATAATACATGTAAAGTTTTTGTAACCTTGAAGTACTATATAAGCATTTTTTCCAGCTGTTGTTGTTACCCAGTTAGAAAGATTTCGGGTATGGGCCTGGAAAGAGATTGTTACCTGAGTAGGGAGCAGATCAGCACTAGAACATTGGTCACCAAGTGATAGAATTTTATTTGACAAGCCGTGAAACAGAAAACCACAAAATATCCCTAGGTCATTCACGTCTAATCCCTTTTGAATTGATGGCAGGCAGCTTCTAAGAATCAAATTTTAATTAATCTATGAATAGTGACTTGACTGTTAATATATTGGTTTGGTCCAGGGGTGAGAAACCCGTGGTCTGGAAGCCACACATGGCCTTCTAGATCCGTTGGTGTGGCCTCTAAGTCCAAGTTTTCAGAACAGATCTTTTTAAGGGGATTTGTTCTGTGAAGTTTGGATTCCGTCAAAGGGCCACACTTGAGGACATAGAGGGCCACATGTGGCCTCGAGGCTGCAGGATCCCCACCCCTAATTTGGTCTTTGGATGAACGTGAAGAGTACTATTGATGGAAAAGACTTGAGGGATTAGCCTTTGTAAACCCCTCATTTTATAGATGAAGGGACTGAGGCTCAGAGAGGTTTTAACTTTCCCAAAGTCACACATGTACGTAACAGAGTCAAGAACAGAACCCAGGTCCTTTTGAATTTAAATACAGTGCTTTTTCCAAAAGCTAGAAATTTATTTTTTTTTAGTGTTTTGTTGTTGCTCTTTTTAAATATGATTGTCATTTCCCAATGATTCCACCTAACCCTCTCTCCATAAAACCATTCTTTGTAACAAATGCAGTCGAGCACAAATAAATGTATTGGTCATGGCTGAAATGTATGCTTCTCTTTGGTCACTTAGAGTCCACCACCTTTCTGTTGAAAGATTACCTAAAATTTATTGCCAGCTTTCAAGTCATAATTGGTCTTTCAGTAATCTTCCCAGTAGCTATGCTTCCTCCATGATGTTTTCCCTCCAATTTTTACTTGTTAGTGCTGCCTCCTTCCATTTTCCTTATTCTTCACTTAATTGTGTACCTTTTGAATTCCCAGCATCTTAACAGTGCCTTATACCCCACCCTCCTCTATAATAGGTGCTCATTAAGTTTAACACTATTGAGAGTGAGGAGTAGCTGGAGCGTTGGACTGAATGATGAAGGCTTCCAAGATAGTAGATTACCTATGAGATGTACAGATTAAAATAATATGGGACAAAAAGGGGTATGGACTTGTTGAAATCTGTACCATTAAAGGGAGTAAGTTGAGTTGTTGATTTAGATCACTGCTCTCTGTCTTAGTCGTTGATAGATTTTATGAGTTATTGTGCATGTGGCCAAAAAACACATTACCTGGTGGGCAACCTTCTTGTGATAAGCCATTTGAAAATTGTGAGGCCTCAGAAAATACCCTTTGAGTTTATTGCCAGATCTCATGGTAGGACCTGCCAGAGCTTATACCTTCCATAGCCATAGCCTTCAAGAAACCAGCACCATCTCCATGCCACAATGAGGCATCAAAATAGAACTTTGAAATTGGGGAAATTTGGACTTAGTTGGGAAAAGCCTGTTAGAACTTGGTTCTGCTAAATCCATGGGGCAGAAATTGGAAGACATTAGTATAAGTAACAGGCAAATCTGGATTCAAACTTCCTAACTATGAGTTATGATTTTTGGAAGCGACTGCCTCAGGCAGTACATAGTTTCCAAGCACCAGTTTTCAGGCAGAAGTTAGATGTCCACTTGTTAGAGATGTAAAAGGGAATCAACGAGCATTTATTATTAAGTCCCTAGTCTACACTAGGAAATGCTAGGCCCTTGGGATGCAAGTACAAAGAATGAAATAATCTCTCCTTAAGGAGCTTAAGTTCTTATGGGGGAGATAAGTACATATAGATAGTATAAATAAAGAAAATAAATGGGATATGTTTAGAGAAGTCAGATACAAATTAGTTCGGGAGAGAGAACACTAGCCAGTTGAGCCATGAAAGGCTTCAGGTAGAGGTTAGTGCCTGAGCTGCATCTTGAAGGAGAAGGGAATCTGAAGTGGAGGGAATGTATTCTAGGCATCTGATAAGAGTCAGTGCAAAGGTGCTGAACTGAGGGGAGATGGAGTGTTTTATGTGAGCAGCAAAGGACAGTATGGCTAGATCAATGTATTTAAAGGGAAGTGATTGCTATATCCATTGGTGCTGAAAAGATGGCTTCAAGCTAGGTTGTATAGGTAGGGCTTCTAAACCTCAGCAAAGGAGCTTGCATTTTGTCCTTGGGACAAGAGGAAGTGACTGGAGTGGTTGAGCAGGAAAGTCACATGGTCAGATCTGTGCTTAAGGAATATTTCTGTGGCAGAAGTGCATAGGAAGGCCTGGAATGATGAGACGAGGCAGGGAGACTCATTAGGAGGCTGTTGCAGTAATCTAGGTTAAGAGGGATTGAACTAAAGTAGCTATGTGAATGGAGAGCTGGGATGCCATGGGAGAGATGTGGCTGTAAAAATAAAATCAGATAATATGTAGATCAGTATGACTTGTTGATATGTATATAAAATTCACTAATTATATAACATAAAATGGAGATTAAATGAGATAATTGTAACAGTACCTGGCACATAGTAGGTAGGTACTTAATAAATAAATGCTTGTTCCTTTCCCTGTCCATCCTTTAGAAATGGCCAGATTGACATCTGATTAGCTATGTGAGGTGAGGAGAAGAAAGAAAATATTGAGACTTCAGAGCTGGTGCCTTTGACAGAAGTAGGGAAATTTAGAAGAGGAAAGAGGGTTTGAAGGAAAAGATGAGTTTGGTTTTAGACATGTGAGATTTTGAGATCTCTCCAAGACATCCAGTTTTAAATAGCCAATATGCAGTTGGTAATATGGGACTAGAGGTCAGGAGAGACTGGAGGTGTAGAAGAGATTACGGAGTAGCAGATGAACAACTTCACTGGTACCTAGGAAATATTAAAAGACATAGAGGAATGTCTCTGGCTCATTGGGCAGATCTTGAGAATTTGGGAATTCACAGGTAAGAATAGCATAGGATGAGAACAGATATAGGTTAGTATCCAAGCAGTAAGATCAGAGATACACTGAAGCAGTTCTGTGCAGTTAGGTAGTACACCTTAAATGGTCTAAGAACAGTTATGTAAGGATTTGGGAACTGAAGTATTCTTTGGAAATGCAATCAGCTTATTGATATATTCAGATTTTTTTTTTTAAATTTCAGTCCTAGGTTGAGTTTACTCAGGGTTGGCCAACCAGTGACAGTTACTGTACAGCTGTGTGTCAATAGGTGGTTATGCACATTTGTTTAGTGTCTTCTTTCTGGGAGGGTGGTAGAAGTGCCCTAGAAAATGCTCTGTTTACTTAATTTTTTTTTTTGGCTAGGCAGTAGGGTTAAGTGACTTGCCCAGGGTCACACAGCTAGTAAGTGTGTCTGAGGTTGGATTTGAACTCAGATCCTCCTGAATCCAGGGCCAGTACTCTATCCACTATGCCACCTAGCTGCCCCTGCTTACTTAATTTTCGAAGTGGCACATAAGGAAGGTCTAAAATACTTAGATCTGACAACTTCATCTTGGTCTGCTGCTTTTTCCAGCAATCTGTAAAATTTGTTTTTCAGTGATAAGAACTATGGACCTGCTGCCCAAGGCCCTTTCCTATCATATGGGGTGGGGGGGGATGGATAAAGGGTCACTTTAACACCTTAGTATGACTGGTTTACTTGTCAACTTGAACCCAAAAGACAATCTGTCATCTTCACCTTAGATATTTTACCTTCCATTATTCCCACAGCTCCCTCATCAGTCCCAATTTTAGAAATATCATTCATTACACAAGTTTACCTTTTCGGTGACAACAGAAGAAAGGCAAGGGGGTGTCTTATCTGACCAATTGTTCTAATTACAGGAGAGATTGAAGGTGGGAGCTGGAAGTGACCTTTGGTATTTCCTCATGCCATTCCCTTAATATTACCTTGTAAAAAAGAAAAGATGATGTCAGAGAATCCTGCATAGTATAAATTGAGAAGGAGTCTAATGAGCACAACTAGAACAATATATTCAAGAACAACCTTGTAAAAAAAACCTCAAAAACTTGAAAAAGTGATCGACCATGTCTCCAGAGGACCTATGATGAAGTACGTTCTCCACCTCCTGATAAAGGGGTTATGGACAAAAAGTACAAAAGGAGACAACTTTTTTTTTTTTTTGCCCATGTCTGCTGTGCAGATTTATTTTGATTGGCATGCTTATCTGTTACAAGCTTTTGTTTCCTTAATGGGATGGGAAGAGAGGAGTGTTAGCAGTAGTTATACCAGAAAGAAAGGGAGGTGGGGCTGAAATATTTCTTAAAATCCATAGTTGAGAATAGAAGGAAACACAGGACAGTTTTGAAAGTAATGTGTGGAATATGTATGTGTGTGTGTGTATGTATACATATACACATACACATACACATACTTAAAAGCAATCAGAGATGGAGTTAATGATTTCATTTATAATCTTTATGTGTTCTGCGATTTGTGTGTGGAAATGCTCTATTGGAGGTATTTATGTTCAAAATAATAAAAAATTTTAAAAAGAATTTGCTAACACACTGGAAAGTGAAATAAATTTTCTATTGCTTCAGAGTACTTACTCTGAAGTGTCTTGTGGGCCATTAGGTGATCTTTGGCTGCCATTGAATCAGGCATTTACTTATTCATAATTCACATAGTTTATTTCAGTATATGTCTGCACTGAAGCAAGGCAAGTGTATGCTATGAAAAGTTTGTTAAACTAGGGTTCCTTCAGAGCTAGCAAGCTATTTGAGAGTATAGGGTGGGGGTAGAGTTAGAAAAAAATAGGCTTGGCAACAAGTAGTAAGACTGGCCCATCCCTTCCCTACCCAGTAAAACTTTTCTGGTATCATAGAATCTGTCATAAGATTAAGATGTAGTTAGTCAAAAGTTCAAATCTTCCAGTTTACCCTCCATTGGCGAGTGCTTCGAAGGAGGCTGGATGACTGCCATTCCCCTTCCCAGGCATGAAGCTCCTACTTACTACAAACTTGGAGCTTCACCATCTTCCCCTTGTTCTTCCACGTGCCAGTTCCCCCAAATACAACATGCCTGAGTAGGACCAATGAGAAATAGCACTAATACCTGAGGCCCCCTCCCATGCTCTGCACAAGGGCACTGCTGACTCTCCATGCCCTCCCCACCTTGGGTCCGCTAGGGTAAACAGCCAGACTATATTTTGTGCACTTGGGCAGTTCATGACTGCTTTGAAGCTGGTCATGCATCAATAATACTACTTTACAACTTTCATCTCTTGCTAGCATCAAAGAAAGGTAACCCATTGATAAACAAGCCTGCATTAGAAGGGCCCAGGTTGTGACAGGTACTGCTAGAAGTGAATGGAAGGGTGGAATTTGGGGCATGTACTCACTGGAGGAACCACACCTGTTTCTGAATGTGGTAAGATGCAACCACTTAACTTTTCCTAGCTTGTTTTGAACACTGAAAATGTGCCGAGGTGAAAATCCTTTCTCTTACCACTCCCTGTACTCTGATCCTTATTCCTGGATCTGTGACAATTTACCAAGCTGTTCTTTGAGGCTGATTTGGTCCTACACCTTCATATGTGACTTTCTGGGAGTCAATAGGCTCGTAGTTGTTAACGGAAGGGATCTCAGAGGCCATATACTCCAGCTCCCCTCATCTAACAGATAAGGAAAATGAGGTACAAAGAAGTTAAAATAATGTGCCCGAGGGGTCTCAGTCACACTGGCCAGCTCTCCTGAGAAAACGATAGATTGTGATATCATCCTGATAGGCACACACCCTCTGAACCA